GTGTGTGTGTGTGTGTGTGTGTGTGTGTGTTCAGGTATCTTTTTGCGTTACAGATGAAACAGGATTTGTCTAACAGCAGTCTGACCTGTAATGACAACAGCGCCGCCCTGCTGGTCTCTCACATATTGCAGTGTAAGCATAAAAAGTGTAGATTTCATTTGTGAATTATAAAGTTCATATTTACCATCGAGACTCAAATCATCTTCGGAATTATTTCATTTATGTGACTTGTTTTTGATGTTCTGTAAAACGTTCTCCACATCACCTTGCACGAGGAGCGTCTGGGGAAAAGAAAGGTCCTTGATTGAATGTTAACACTGTGTCACCGGCATGTGTGTGTCTGTGTGTGTCTGTGTGTGTGTGTCTGTGTGTGTTACAGCAGAGCTCGGGGACTTCGATGAGGAGATGGATTGTCACCATTTAGAGATGAAGCAGTACGTCCCCAACCAGGAATATCTGGACAACAAGATCATCAAGTTCCACAAGAGACACAGGTACAGTCGGGAAGTGAAGGGACACTTTCATTCGAAAAACCTAAACCGGTTCTTTCTCTTTAAAATCAACCTGCTCTGTGTAGAGGTGTGTCTCCAGCAGACTCGGACATCCACCTGCTGGAGGTGGCGAGAAAGCTGGACATGTACGGCATCCGGCCTCACCCGGCCCACGACGGGGAGGGGATGAGGATCAACCTGTCTGTCACTCACTCCGGAGTGCTGGTGTTTCAGGTCCGTGCTTTAAGTTGGTCTCAAGGTTTTCATGCACTAAGTTTGCATCGAGCTGGGAGCTAAATGTGCACACTGACATGCCACTACTCGGCCCACAGGAGGCGCCGTTAGCAGCTTGGCATTGCGATAAAATGCAGTCGAAACATTCATTGACCGTCCAGGATCAGTTTTCTAACTTTAGAGATTCTTTATCTTTTCATTTGATGTAAAGCAGAGGGGCAAAGTTTGGATTCTTGACATAGAGAGAGTAAAGAAACCATAAAGATGGACGACATGACAGCTCTGATGGATTTCTCTAGCCTGTTGTTAGCACGGAAATATACATTAAATCATGTTTACCTCTTTTTGTTTCCAGGGAAACACCAAAATAAATACCTTCAGTTGGGCGAAAATCCGCAAGTTGAGCTTCAAACGGAAACATTTTCTCATCAAACTGCACGACAAAGTCGGGGTGAGGACCTGGTGTTCGTCAGCAATCATCAGACTGGAAGAGAATTCCTTTAAAGAATCAAATGTGTGCCGATATTAATATAAGTGTTGTGTGACATTCATGCAGCCGTCATGTAAGGACACTCTGGAGTTTTCCATGGCCAGTCGAGACGTCTGTAAGTCGTTCTGGAAGACGTGCGTGGAGTATCACGCCTTCTTCAGACTTGCAGAGGAACCAACGGCGGTACACAAAACACTGTTGTCCTGTAAGGGCTCCAGCTTCAGATACAGGTAACACACACACACACAGAATTTTACGACATGAGGATTTCCTCTGTGATACAGGCGGGTTCGTATTTGACGTTTTATTTTGTGTGGCAGTGGGCGGACACAGAAACAGCTGCTGGAGTGTATGGGGTCAGGGGAAAAGAAGAGGTGAGAATAAATTCATCAACATGAGTCAAATGTTTGAGACTAAATTGGTTTTGAAGGTTTTTGTTTCATCATCTGTTTTCGTCATCTTTTCTTTTCCCCAGAACCTACTGTCAGTCAGACTACGATCCCCGACAGTGTCGATCTTCTCCTGATCTCCTCACCGACGTCTCCAAACAAGTAACACAAGTTCGAATTCAATCGTTTGTCGTTCTTGTCAAATATACGTTTTTACCGACTTCTCAAATGTAATTGCTTTTCTTGATCTTTGTGTGTCTTAACTCTGAAGCTGTACCAGCACTCACATCCCTTCCCCCGGTCGACCCGTGCCTTGGCGGTCCACAGTCAGGACGAGTTGGACCCACATCATCGAGGGGCAGACAACATCGAAATCAGGGGAGGAGGGGCTAAACGCAGCCATTCATCTGTCGAGGTCACCCAGAGGCCGTGCCCCCTCTCCCAGGTCTCGCCCCTCTCTCCTCTCCACCAATCAACCCCGTCACCGAAGATGAGATCAGCTTCTACATCTTTGATGGAGGACACGAGGGGCGGACGCATCGAGATGCAGCGCCAAGCCCAGAGGCTGGCCGGGGTTTACGGCAACCGATCAAGGCGTCGGCCCAATCCCCAGCCACACCCAGACGCTGCACAGCAGTTGGTTCTTCTCTACCCGAACAGTCCTGCCTACCAGTATCACCCCGTCCTCCCATCATTCCCATCAGCTGGGTCCTCGCCGCTTAACCGTTACCCCTACTTGACGGACTATGTTGCTGTTTCTTCACTGGAGCGTTTCCCGCAGCCCCGGAGGCGGGACTATGTGACAACAGACAGCCTATCTCGCCCGTTTTACTACCCACTAGGCCACGATTCGCCGTCTGTTTCACCAATCAGGAGGAACCTCCGCCCCGGTGGCTCAGGCGGGTTGGCCAGAGTTTACCAGCAGGGGAGCAATGGTGCGAGGTTCTTGGGTATTGGACACACTGAGGCCGGGCATTACAGCGACGACTGCAACTTCCTCCCAGGGCTACCTCGCCGCGTAGCGAGCCAACCAGATGTCAAGTTCCATCTCTCAAGGAGTTCCAACCCAGCCTTTAACCCCGCCTCTGAGTTTCGGCCCCTTGGTTACTACCCTCACCTGACACGGCCCTCCAGACCCACCTACCTCCCACTAAACTCCTCCCCTCTGCCAGAGCGTCCCACTTCGCTGTGCATGATTGGAGGAACCGCAGGAAGCTACAGCGACTCGGACCCAGAGGTTTTCTACCCATATTACTGCCCACCCCCCCCACTGGGGAAGGTGACTCGGTCCGCTGGACTGGCCAGGATGAGGTTTTCCTCTGGAAGCCTCCAGCTGGACGAGGAGGAAGAGGGGGAGGAGGAAGACGAGGACGATGGAGCAGCAAAGGAAAAGGGAAAAAAGCGTATGAAGAGTGAGGGGGAGGAGAACAAAGTAGGAAGTGAGGAAAGAGATGAGACTAAAGGTGCAGCGAAGATCACAGAGGTCACGTTGTAGATGAAGAACAGACCAGTGATGGAGAACATTCAGAACCGACCGAGGATGTCGGGTGTTCCACTTGCTCCAGTTGCTGTTCAATAACCGCCCTCGTGGTACAACCTTAGAAAACCTGAGTACTCATACCTGTGAACACAGCAGCTGCAGTACCAGCCTCAACCTCAAGAGGTTCGTCTCTGAACTGAAAGTTTTAAAGCCTGTGTCAACTTTGAAAAAATAGTTTGAGAAAGAAAAAGCCTCAGTGATGGAATTCTTGGGAGTGAAGCAACATTTCTAGAAGGAATTCAAGGAAAACTAGATTTTGTGTTTGGTTCTTGAAAAAGTGGATTGATTAGAAATCAAGCATTAGAAATACTTTTATGTTATCGTTTGAAAACGCGTGAACTCTACTCCAGAGAGCAGAGCGGAGAAACTGAGACGTTGACGCTGTCGGGATGGTGGATGTTGATTTAGTGCAGCAAGAACTGGACCAGAAGAAAAAGTCAGAGGGCGCCTGGGGTTTCTTCACGCTGAGAGGAGCCGGTTTACGTCTGATCAGTCTCTTCTGGAACTTTTCCAGACCCACGTCCAAACTGGTGGAAGACGTGGTGAGAGACCAGGTCTGGAAACTCTTTCACAGTTGTCAGGTGGATCCACGCTGAAGAACTGAATATGGAATCCTGAGTGTTCTGTCAGTGAGACTATTTAGTGTGGTTGGAAACGTTCTGGGCGAAGTCACTGTATTAATGTATTTGTTGATGTTACAGCTGAAATTGTGAATTGATAATTATACAGAAGAAGAAAATACCTCGTTCCTGATCAGGTCATGTCGTCTGATAACCAGAAGAGAAATCATTTAACACAGATTTAAAACTTTCCAAATACAGAAATCGATTGAAGCTTGCAGCAAACTGAATGATCTTTTCCTTTAGAGACACAAGTTTTTGATCAAACTTAAATATTTATTCATAAAACTCTAAGTCCCGCTACAAAAACAACATTACTGTAAAATCTTACATCTTTCATACATCCCCCCCCCAACAAGCATTATTGTATCCCTTATGATATATAAAAAGTTCTATAGTGTCTTTGGTACAAACGGTCAGTAACACCTTGATTTACAGCTCCCGTCGTGCTCTTGAAAAGAACCTGTGCCACTTTCCCACGTTAACGTTAAAGATGCTTCAACGTTCAGGTCGACAGTTTCCCGGAGCCGGTGCACGTCACGCAGACGTTTCTCAACGCGAGTGGAAGACAGCAATTCTTCAAACGTGTTTCGAACTGCGGAAGCTCAGGTTTTTAAACTTTCAGTATTAAACCTGTGAATCCTTGAGTAACGCTGATCTGTCGCCCGAGAGTCGTTTCAGTTCTGGAATATTAGTTCAAATTGTATTTGAAGCTTAACCCCTTAAAGTTTCACGTATGACGGATCTGAGCAGGAGCTGTAAATGAAAAGTGTTACTGAAGACAACAAAATGCAATATTGGCAGAGAAACTGTCTCAAGTGCTACTGAGCAAACACAACGAAATATACAAGGTCAAGGCACGCCGAGACACTGAACACGCTCCTGCTGACGCACGACAACCTTCTCTTATGTGTCATAATCTGTGTGTAACAACAAAAAAATCTGCATCCGACAAAATGACATCTTTTAGAAAACGATAGCATCGACAATTAAGGCACGTGATGGTCAATCAGGGAGTTTGGGGAGATTATTCATGGGGTCAAGTTTGAATTAAGTCGGACTGAAGGCTGGGCCTTACTTTGCATTCCAAACTTCAGCTGCAGAAGTGATTGGGGGGAAAAAAACGGAGAGAGTTCATGACCCGAAAAAACGGGAAACGAAAACCAAAAATCCGACTGACTCAAAAATTCAGTTCATTCAAAAGTGCAGCCGTCTTCTGAATCCAACGTGGGGAGAAAAAAAGGTTCAACCAGCGGCAGTGAAAAAATATATATACATAATATATAGTGTATATATTACATTAGTAGTGTGTGTGTGTGTGTGTGTGTGTGTGTGTGTGTGTGTGTGTGTAAGTGTAAGTGTAAGTGTGTGTGTACAGCGAGGAGACATCGCACAGCAAATCTCCTCCGTATCCAATCCTCCAGCAGCGTCACCGTACGGAGACAGTCTTCATCTGACTTCCTCTCTCCGTCCGTCCTTTAGTTGGTCGTGAATCTGTCGGAGGGAGAAAGAGAAAGATTTTACTCCCTGTAAGAAAACTGAGGCCGAGAGCGTTTCAAAAATATTTCCCAGCAAACAAGTTATCTAGAAATCCTGATTATTGAAAGCTGCATCATTTTCAAGCAATGATAAATATAAATATGGGAACATGAGTCTTTTACAGACGTGTGTCATGTTTGACGAAGACTTGTTCAGAATAATAAATTCGATTGTGTTTATGTTTTGAAGAAAGACATTTTTATTTGGAGAATAATAATTTAAAGAGTAATTTAATGAATGGATAATAAATGATCAATATCGGCTGATATATCGGGATTGAAAACTTCCTAGCATCAAGTCCTTCTGCAGAAACGTTTATCTCGAGCTTCAGGGAATTTAAAAAAGGCCTTTTTCTCTGTTAACTGACGTTTTATTTTTCTTAGAAATAATTGTCAGATATATCGATAGTGAAAATAATTGCCGGCTGGAGCCTTAAAGTTCCTCTTTGATGGAATAATACGACCCTGCCCCAGTTTTCCTGCGGTTAATTATGAAAAAAAAAGAATCAAAGCACTTTGATTAAGTCCAAATTTACAACATGAATAATTAAAGTTGAACTGCGTGAGCGAGGACACGAGGTCGAGGACCCGACAGAGTTTCGGGCAAGTTAGTGATGAATTCAACGACGTGTCGGGTGGAGCTCCGCTTTCAATCAAGAGAAGTTCAAGACGAGAGAAGAAACATTTAAAATATTTACAAGAAAGAAAAAAGCGAGAAAGGAAACAAACAAAGTGAAAGTAAAGAGTCGATCGGTTTAGAAAACGACAGACGTACTTCTGGTACCTGGCAATGATGTGTGTGACCATCCTGTCCGTGATGCCGGGACAGACGTCCTCGGCCAGGCGGATGTTGCGCTCCAGGTCCTCGATGGCCTGGTGCTGCTCAGAGTGCTCCTTGTGCTGCTGCTTCAACTGCACAAGAGAAACACAAAAAATACAACAATATGAATCATCTGCACCTCGTTTTACAAATAATCTTACACTTTTTAAAGATTATCTTTATGAAGAATTGTTTTTTTTCTCTGACGTTAATTTTGGATAAACTGATTTTTTTCTTCCCTTTGTTATTTTCCTCTGTTATTTGCTTTAGTCCCGAAATGTTTTATTTCCATTTCTGACCGAACATTTAAATTTCAATGAACGAATTGAATTGCTGTGTGTGTCTCAGAAAATAAAACAGAGAGAGCTTCATTTCACCGACACACGTTTCATTACTCACTCTGAGCGTCTGTGTACTGACCTCGGTGAAGACAGGAGAGATGACTGTGGTCAGACTGGTCGATTTACTCAACTGATCCTGAACCTGATGAAGAGGAGGACGAAGGAGGAAAGTAATGTTTCAGTACAATTCGTGATGAAGAATATTATATATTATTGTTACTGTGACAAACACTGACCGTTCCGTTGAGAACCTTCCTGTCGCCGGCGGACTTCTTCTTCCGAACGGTGGTGAAGGACCATTCAGGAGAGTCGCTGTTCTCCTTGTTACTGGACTCACTGGAAAGAGTTTTAAAAACTTGTAACACACAGGCACTGAGCAGTTATTGTCTTCACAGAAGTAATCTGATTACCTGTCGGAGTCGTCGGAGCTGCTGTCGCTGTGCCCCTCCTCCTTCCACCTCCTGTACCTGTCGATCAGCTCGCTGAGGTAGGACGTCTTCTTACAGTGTTTGACGATGAACTTGTGTTTGAGGAGCTCCTTCGCTGTGGGACGCTGCACGCACACACACACGCACACACGACACACACACACGCACACGCACACACAATGTACAGGTCTTTAGTCGACTCACTTCACTATAAATATTTGTCTTTGAGCTCAAGCATTTTTTGGAAACTACTCATTATTCTTATTTTTACTGTATTATAATAATTGAAATACATTTACTTGTTTAATTTTCTCTTCAATTGTGTTTATTTCATTATTTCATTATTTATATCATGTATGATTTATTTGTTCATACATGTTGAGGAGGAGCAGAAAATAAAAGGGAGAAAGAAGTGAAGCTAACGGTCCACCAGGGGGCAGCAAGATGCCACATCAATTAAACCAGAATAGAGAAATGGATTAAAATGAAAAACTGTATAAAACCTACAACTAATTTTTTATTGCAAAATTATTAATATTGCAAAATGCCACAAATAAAAAATAGAAAAGAGAAGAAAAACAAAATGAAGCGTTAAAAATGACTGAAAACTAAAGAAATTGCACACGTGTAAGTCTACGTGTGTGTGTGTGTGTGTGTGTGTGTGTCTCTTACGAAGGCGGGGTCCTTGTTGAGACAGGACTCTGTGAACTCTTTGAAGCTCTTGGAGAAATCTCCTATCAGTGTTGGCGGTGGAGATTTGGGGATGTGGAAGAGAACTCGCATCGGGTGCATGTCCGAGTTCGGAGGTTCACCTTTGGCGAGCTCGATGGCCGTGATGCCCAGCGACCAGATGTCGGCCTGGACACACACACACACACACAAACACACACAAACACACACACAGACGTAAATGAATAAATGTAGAAATACAGAAAAAGCATTTTTCATCATAAAATGATTTTTGTATTTACACTTTTATTATCGGGGTATTTATTATTTAGACTTTGCTGTTTCTTCGTGCAGGTGAACGCACCGGCAGTCAGGTGTGGGTTCTTTTTGTAACACTCACAAACCGTATGTCAACCTGAAGGCCCACACACAACAAAGGTACACACAAAGACAACACACACACACACACACACACACACACACACACACACACACACACACACACACACACACACACACACACACACACACACACACACACACA